TAGGAAGAGGGTGTTTTGGATTATATGAATTTAATGTTTTTTCCCAATTTGTTGTTAATTGATCTCAGAATCAAAAGTTTAATCTCAATATTTGGACGTGTTTTTGAATCTTAGATTGATGTAATAAGAATGTAAAATAATGAACAACCACAACCAAAAACATAATGGGCATTGGGTATTTATAATGAGTAATGTTATTCATCCCCAGTGGGGATGAAAACACAGTCTAGGTGGCGCTAAATGATAGGTTAAATGAAAGGTGAAATTAAATAAGTCATTTAATTTCACCTATCATTTAATGCCACATTAGTGCCACGTAGACTGTATTTTCATCCCCAGTGGGGATGAATAGCATTACTCTTATATATATCTTTCTATATATAAAAAGTGTCTATTTAACGGCATTTGTTGGTTTAACGGAAAAACTAACGGAATTTGTGTCCCATATTTCTTGAGTCATTGAAGAAATGGGAAGACATTCATCGGGGTTATGCATGTTGTTCACAATTAAAATGAGTCCGTACGGAATTATTTGACTAGATTTAGTCGGGCTACAGTTGACATTAGAGACCTTCAAATGTCTATCGTGGTTATCGCCTTGATGAATGGGACGTAAAATCGGGCATTTAAGATATCTCTCTCAAAAAATCCTTCGAAGTCGATGCATCAGTTGTTGAAGAAATGGGACAAATACGTAGATACAGTGATATTTGAGCTTGTGTTTTCAAAAGAGCCATCATGGCTACTAACTTAGTCTCTAAAATGATAAATTGATTATGTGTGTTACATATTGTGGTTGTGGCAGCAGGTCTTGACCTTGAGGGACAGATTTTGACTCCATCGTATTTTTGACCAAGTATGTATCACTCCTAGTTTTCTTTTTTGACATAACTTTTGACCAAGTATGTATCACTCCCTCATTGTGTATAGAGAGCCTCCTAGTCTAAAAAAGAGCTTCCCAAGTCTAATCCTTGTAAGATTATTACGTACAAAGACTATACGATGGGGTTTGAGGTTTCCCCTCCATCCTTTCTTTATCTCAATCTATAACAAATTTCATATCACTCATAGTCAGATAAATCCCAACGTATGGAGGAAAGCAATATATTTCCTGTACATTTGCTTTAGCGAAAATATCGTACCCTCCATCAAGCTCTTTAGGCGTGTCTTTGAGTTACATATCCTGCCACAGTACAACACTTTCATCTACTTTATCACTAGGAGTCCTCTATTTTTTTTTCCTAAGTATAAGAATTTCAACAGTAGACGAAAGTTTCGATTTTTTTTGTTCAACCTGCCAAAGGCCAGTTTTCGTTTAATATTCATTGGAGACATCCTCAAATTCGTCTTTTTAGTAGTGCCTTACTCTCCTTTTAGAAGACTAGATACGATAGTTGACCCGCCTATTGACTTCTACACCCATTCTATTTCAAGTATTAATTGCGAGGAACATGTTGATGATGGGAATCGGTCAATCCACCAGTAGGCTTTCCTTTGTTGCCTTTACTTCTGCTCTAGTGAATATTCTTTTTTCTTATATCTTGTGTTTGATAAATTCTGTTGTATGTACGTAGATATGGATTTTGACTTGGCAAGAGTGTTGAACTCACTATCTGAGCCCAAGATTGATGAGGGATTTCCCATGAAGCTTCAAAGAAGAGAAAGGCCACAAATAAGGAGAAAGGAAAATGCACTTGCAAGAGACCTCCGCCAATGAAATAATAGCTACTCAACCTTTTGACTTCCTTAACAAAACAAGGTGGCTTCTGCTACTCTGATGACCAATGAAATACCTAGAAAAAGAGGTTGAGATTTTATCCCTCGTACCTCCGACACGAGTCAGTGATAAAGTTTATGTAGATAATTATAACTTTTAAATGAAAAAGGAAGAGAACTCGAAGATGTGGTATAAAGATCCCCCATACCTGCTACGACTTTGGGGTATTTATAGGTGTCTTGTTGCCATGCAACTACCAATTGATTGCCATCTACATGTCTAGTGGTTAATTTCCATTTACTAGATGGTTAAAGGATCAGAGGTTGTCAAGGGGTTATCAATCAATGTAAAAATGTCTAGACAATTGAGAGATATGGGTCAATCGAGCTTCCTAATGGCCGGCCACACCAGTGGCCGATCGACCATCTTTGTGTCGATCAACCCTCGTGATTCTCGATCTACCGTCCTCGTCCAATTGATGATCATGTCAATTACTTATATCACTTAGCATCACCTACTTAGTTGACTTTTAAGAAAAGGCACAAGTCCCGGAGATCGGTCTTTCTAAATTTCCAAGAATATTACTACAGTTAGATATATGTTTTCGAAATATATATTTTGGTCATTTAAATTTCCGTTTAAATTTTGTGTCAGCGATGTTCTAATGCTAGTAAAATGAAGATTATGATCTTTTAGCGTGACATTTAATGCACAAATCCATGAGTGAATTCTTCAACCATGTTGAGAGGTTTGTAGATTATACGATATAACTGCTTGTAGCATTTTTAGTAGTAAATGTCACTAGTTCAAGATGTAGCTTATAAATTTGAGTGTGGATCCACCATGCTTTGGAATCATGACTGTGTAACATATAAACCAAGGATATATCATCAGTGTTTTAGGTATGCCAAACAGATAAAAACATTTTACAGAACCTTGGGAATAAGGCAATGGTGGCACTAGGTGAATGTTGTGTAGGGAATTTATTTATACATGCACGGCAGAATTTAAAAATAATTTCAATTCCCTTCAAGAATGGTCTCTGTGTTTAGATATAAATTGTTATTAGAATTATACCTTCAATAAATTCGTAAAACTTTTTTGAGAATCTTGATCGCGAACAATCACGATCTTTGCAAGCCTTTGTGAATCATTTTTTCATACCATAATAGTCTAATTGTTCAACCTCTGATAGTAATCCACAAAGAGAACAATAATGAGAGATTATAGTTTCTCTTTCTTGTGCTAGCAAGATTATGATATCGTGATATTATGAATTCTTAACTGGTTATTAATAAAAGTTTAAATAGGCATGATACACCTATTAAACATAAGTTGGACTATTAGTTAATTAATTCAATCAATTAACTCAAACTCATCAACAAACAGTCAAATTAATTAATTTTACAAACATCCAACACTTGTCAATTAATTAATTCTTGATATTATTTTTTTAGTTCTTCCTCCTGTGTGTGACCCATTAGATTCTCAATCTCGATATTGAACTATGTAAATTATTACTTTGATCTAATCAAAATAAGATAAATTCAAACTCCCTTTTTAATTTTCATTAATTCAACTGGATTAGTTAATTCACATTCATCGTCCCAAATTGACATCTAGTAATGTGTCACGAAAATACATGTGACCAGAGATGTATCATTCCTACAACTCCAATAGCTATTGTCACGTCGTAGAAATATTTTAGAAGACCCTAATTTATGATATGATGGTTTAGTATTCGTCACAGAATTTCTTATTATGTATTTTGTTTAAAATATATATCAACTATGCTCCTATTTCGGATAGAAAAGTGGAATTCAATTATTCATCATTTAAAGGATATTAATGAGCCAATTAGTTAGAAAGCTTTGTTTTTAGTAATTCATTAAAATCAATTAGATTCTTACTAATTATCACAAAATATGTTAGTAGTAATTTGCCTTTCTGCCTTTATACATATAATTATCTCACTCTTTGAATGAGAATTTCGTCCAATTTACTTTAGTCGTGTTTCCTTTTGTTTATACTTAATCGGCATCAAGTTTACTAGATGATATATATTCTCTTAATCGTGCTACTTGTGTAGGCTCGGTCAACACATGGCAACATGTGATTGGAAGTAAAAAAAAAAAACATACAAAATAGGTACTGACTTCGTTTATTTTATTCTAATTTTCCCCAATGCAACACAACTTTTGTAGTTCTAGAACCGTAGCTTCGTTATCTCATATTAGGGTAAATTTAATCCAGGGTCGCTGAACTTTTGGCGAAATTTCATTTGGATTACGTACTTTTCATTTAGTTTCAATTTTGAATTCCATCTTATTCTCCATCTATTCTTCCCCTAAATTGACAAAAAATATTTACTTGTTAGTTGTACCATAATTGATCTTTCACGTAATGTTATGTGACACTTTAGAAGTGAAAATGTTAAAATGAGAGTTATGAAATTTCCTTAGATTAAAATGTTAAAAAGATTTATTTTCTATTTTAGCCTCTGTTTGACAACCATTAAAACGAAACTCCCTTTTTTTTTCCTCATATTCATTTTCAATCATACATTCTCTTAATAAAATATTATGTATGTAAATTCAATTTTTTTTTCCTAATTTCTAACCACACATTCTTCAAAAAATCACTATTCAAAAACACATTTTTTCCAAAAAAAAGAAAGAAAGAAAATTAAAAAAAAAACTAATTTTAATGATTGTCAAACAGAGGTTTAATGTTCTTATAACATAGCGCAATGATAAATCATATATCACTTAGCTATTATGTAGAAGATCCATTTTAGGATGACTATGAATTAAGCAATTTTTATCAATTTAGGAGATGACGAAGTTAATGGCCCAAATTGAAATGAAATTAAAGTTAATGGCCCAATTGAAATTTGGCTGACAGTTTAGATACCGAACTTTACCCGTTCATATAAATATACTCGTTCGCAAATCACAACCAATTCTTCAACATAAATTTTTACTTTTTGTTTCTACTTATATACAACAAGAAGACAGTTGCATGAGAGTACATCAAAGCAAACAATTGTCCTCAGCTACATAAAAAAACAATTCAACAACTTGTTCCGGCAACCTCAATGTAAACCTACGACAAACCCAAAGTAATCAAAGACAGATCAGCAAAAAACCATATTCGTACGCCGTCCAAATCAACATATTCTTAGCCGTTTTTCTCTTCCTTTTATACACTTTCATTTCGTATCCCCATTTTCCCATTCCATAAGTTGGTTAAGCCAACATCGGAGAGTTTAGGACTTAAACAAATGGCGATGTTTTCTCGGACAGACACGAATAGGAGCCTGGAGAGCCTGTTGGACACCGACAAAGCCGTGCAAGGGAACAAGAACATGGTCCGGCAGCCTATGCGGAAGCATGTTCCTGGACATGGTCTTGAGTTCAACAACTTATCTTATAGCATCATGAAGAAGCAGAAAAAAGATGGGGTTTGGATTCAGAAGGAAATTTATCTTCTTAATGATATTTCGGGGCAGGCCATGAGGGGAGAAGTTATGGCCATCATGGGGCCTAGTGGTGCCGGAAAATCGACTTTTCTTGATGCTTTAGCAGGACGTATTGCTCAAGGGAGTCTTGAAGGTTCTGTCAGAATCGACGGCAAACCAGTAAGTTTGTTCACTAACCATCTAATCGTTTTTGTTAAAAACTTCACAGTAGTTAATGACTTATGTAGCGTGTCATTGTTTGCAATGGACACTGTGTCCAACATGCCTAATGGTATGCCCTTTATTTTTTTATGTTTCTTTAATTCTTGAAATGAGAGGTACATAGAGTCCGATTCTGTAAATTTTGAAATCTAAATTGTCTAAAAGGGTCAACATAATTTTAAAAAAAATGAAGGAAAGTCATGTTTAATATATTTATATCTGCTGTATCCAGTTTCTTGATACAAGAATACTTCTATATATCTTGTTTCAATCATATTTAAGTCACCTCCAAAAGTCAAAATATTAACTAGGAGCACTATTAATTTTCATTGAAAAGTAAAAATGTATCAAATAAAAAATAATATAAATAAATATATAATTTTAATAGACGTGATCCCAAGTGTCTGTCAACTGCTTTTCTGAAAAGTTACGTATCAACACCACATGTTTGTATTGTGCTTCACAGATTAACATGGTCGACCTCAAGATCATGTTCGTCAACTATAAACTCGTAACAGTGTGTTGGGTGTAAGTAGGAACAGAATACACTCATGGTGGGATATTAGACCTACCAAATATCACCTTATGAGAGTTTTTTCGCTTATAGAAAATGATTGACTCTGCAGGTAACAACTAGCTATATGAAGATGATTTCATCTTATGTGATGCAAGATGATCAGCTCTTCTCCATGTTGACAGTTTATGAGACATTTTTGTTTGCAGCAGAAGTTAGGCTTCCACCTTACATAACCACTGCTGAAAAGAGGAAAAGAGTCTTTGAACTCATTGATCAGCTCGGCTTAACGGTTCAACTTCATCCTGGCACCTCTATCCCCCTTCCCCAACCCATGTACTCCGGTTGTTAGTTCCTAATATGAGAAGTGTTATGGCTTTGCAGAGTGCAACTCATACATATATTGGCAATGACGGAACAAGAGGAGTCTCGGGTGGAGAAAGACGAAGAGTGTCTATTGGGATTGACATAATTCACAAACCATCCCTTCTATTTCTTGATGAGCCTACATCAGGTCTTGATTCGACTAGCGCTTTCAGCGTCGTAGAAAAGGTTAAGGACATCGCACGTAGTGGTAGCATAGTTCTCATGACAATCCACCAGCCTTCCTTCAGAATTCAAATGCTCCTGGACCATATCACTGTCCTAGCAAGGTACTAAAATTAATCAAAATATAGTAATTTGAATATGAAATGCAAATAAAATTGGTTAAATAAATCAAATGTGGCAACAGGGGGAGATTGGTATATATGGGAAGTCCAACTGCACTTCCTGGATTTCTTACTGGATTTGGCAGACCAGTTCCAGATGGTGAAAACAGCCTAGAGTATCTCCTAGATGTAATCAAAGAGTACGATGAATCAACTATTGGACTCGATCCGCTAGTGGCGTATCAACGTGATGGCATCAAACCAGACCAAGTGGCTCGAACCCCAGTTCCAAAAACACCAAGAAGGCTTAAAAATCCTGTTACTCCTCATCAGAGCAAGAGCCCCTGGTCGAAGCACTTCAATCTCCGAAGTAGCCAATTCTCGAGTGGAAATATGACACCTACTGGAGGTTCTGGACAGTTTAGTTACAATGAAGGTGGTGATAATGACGAGAATTTTGATAACTCCTTGGAACGAAAGACGGCTCAAACACCTAGAAGCATAGTTAGCGGAGTACATAATCCTCGTTTGGCTTCTCACTTCTACAAAGATTTTTCAGTTTGGCTCTACAATGGTGTCACAGCAACTCCTCGCCGCCCCCCTACTTGGACTCCAGCACGAACTCCAATATCCAGTTCAAGAAGTCAAATTGTAAGCAGATACTCAAGTCCTGCACATGCTCGGACTCCAGTAGTCTACAGCCAAGCACCTGAACCCTATGCTGCTTCTTACGAAGAATTTGACATTGAAGTACTTGATGAGCCAGAGCACATGCACAAATTTGCAAATCCATGGCTTCGTGAAGTGGCTGTCCTATCATGGCGCACTGCACTCAATGTAGTACGCACCCCAGAACTTTTCTTATCTCGTGAGATTGTCTTAGGAGTAATGGCTCTTGTTCTGTCTTCCCTTTTCAAAAATTTGCACCATACCTATATCAAAACTATCAACCAACTTCTCAATTTCTATATCTTTGCCATTTGCCTGGTCTTCTTTTCTTCAAATGATGCTGTCCCAACTTTTATCCAAGAAAGATTTATCTTCATACGAGAGACCTCTCACAATGCATATCGTGCTTCTTCTTATGTCATCTCGTCCCTCATAGTTTACCTCCCATTTTTTGCGATACAAGGCTTCACATTTGCTGCAATTACAAAATTCATCCTTCGTCTCAATGGTAGCCTTACCTCGTTCTGGCTAATCCTTTATGCCTCACTCATAACGACAAATGCTTACGTGATGCTAGTCAGTGCAATGGTTCCAAGTTACATAACCGGTTATGCTGTTGTCATAGCCACTACAGCTCTCTTCTTCTTGACTTGTGGATTCTTCTTGAAATTATCCCAAATTCCAGGTTACTGGAAATGGCTTCATTACATTTCTGCAATCAAATATCCATTCGAGGCATTGCTGATAAACGAGTTCAAGGGAAAAAGATGTTACGATGGCAATCCTGAGGATCTTTCGCCTGGCCCTCTGGGAGATGTGAAAATCAGCAAACTGCACAACACGACATTGACAACTTTGGGACCAAACTGCAGTTTGATTGGTGAAGATGTTCTGTTTTCCATGGATATTCATAAGATTGAGAATATTTGGATTGACATTGGCATTTTGCTCGCATGGGGAGTGCTCTATCGACTCTGCTTCTATGTAGTTCTTAGATTTTATTCCAAAAACGAGAGAAAATGAAGGTCAGGTACATTTAGTTGTGTATGAATCAAAGCCGAATCAGTGTAACCTAAAATTTCTTTTCTGTTAACATTTGTTTCAAAGGCGAATCATAGTTTATATTGTAATGTTTAGTGAAGTATAAAGGCTTCATGTTTTGGTCCCAAGGCCATATTCAGTTAATTTTATGACAAAATGTGATATGATGCCTCAGCAACACTGAAGAACGAATTGATCGAGTCAATAACTAGATAGAGAGCTCGAAGGCAATCTAAGACTAGCAAAAAGTAAGAAGTTGATAGAAGTTGTTGGCTGATAAGTTTGTTTTTGCACAATTTTTTAATACCTAAATATACTTATTATTGATTAAAAGAGTGGATATCGACTCATAATTGAATAATTTTGGCTTTGTAGGTCATAAACCCAAATGGAAAGAGAATAAGGTAAAAAGAAGAGAAAAGGGATCAAAGGCGTACTAAAATATGAAGTTGGGGACCAAAGTGTACAAGTTAGAAAGTTGGAGGACTTTGGATGCAAATTATTAGGGCATGAGTAAAATGAAAATCAAAATTTGAGAACCATATTGTACAAGATCAAAGTTGAGGGGCCTTGTATGCAATTATATGGAAGATTAAGCTGGACTAAAAAAGGAAGAAAGCCCCAGCGCGCAAGCTTAGCCCCTGTTTGTCTACCATTTTTACAAACATTGTTTTCTACAGTAAATAATCTCAACCACATATTCCCTCAATAAAATATTCCACACACAAACCAATAAAGTTACTTTAAATTTCAACCACACATTCTCCAAAAAATATTATTCCTTACTCCATTTCTCTACCAATAATGGTAGACAAACAGGCTCTTAATAAACTCTTCTTATTGTATATTATTTTTCTACCAATAATGGTAGATAAACAAGCTCTTAGTATGGTTCATGCGCAGGAAGGCTATTCGATTTACAGAGACCAAAATGGTCGAAAGGCATGAGCACCGCCCCTACTAGGCAATTTTGCCTGTTTTGCATAAATTTCCAGACTTCTTCTGCAATTTCACCTTAGGCGATTTTTGGCCATTTAAATACCATTTTTTGTCACTTTTAGGGCAACACTCATATTAGAACACGTTTGGAGAAAAGGGGGAGAAAAATCAAGCAAAAGTGGAAGGATTATGGAGAAAAATCAAGACCAAGCCACTATTCTCTTCAAAAATCCAACCAAGTGAAAGGTTCTACATTTTATCTTGTATTTTTATTCATTATGTTATCCAACTTGTAATGCATTGCTCTTACCATTTTTAATATCTATATAAAATGAGCTAGTTCATTGTGTTGAGACTTATGGTTGAAGTTTGACCTCGTTTTAATTAATTCCAATATTTTCTTTTAATGTTAAAATGCTTATTTCCATTCTTGGATTTTCATTTATGTAGAAAATGAATGATTATGTTTAGTAATTTGTATATCATTCGAGATAAGATTATGTATTTTAGACCAAATCTGAAAAACTCCGGGTTCGTGTAGGCGATATAGATATACCCCTAATCATAGATAACCCATTGGACTATTTTCACAAATATTTAATGCAATTGTTTGGTTTGAATCAACATAGAGATATAGTAGGTTAAACCATTCAATTATAGTTAATTTCGCTCGAGAGAGGTAATTAACTAGTATTGAAAAATCGAGTCTAACATCGTAAATGAGTAATTTGTCAATTGGCTTATAGGGAAATTAAGTAGGCAACAGTTAAGCGAAACTATGAATTTCAACCACGTTTACCTCCAAAATTCTCAATTTTTTTATGTTTTCTTAGTTTGTAGAATTTTAGTTTAGTTTTTCCTTATTTTCAAATCATAATTTTAATTATATTCTAATGAAATCCGAAGCGTGATCTTGCATCTACTATTCATGCATATGCTTTTATATATATATATATATATATATATCCCAACTTTTACTCTAAAAACTCTTTGGTCATATAATTTTATTCTTTAAAAATTACAAGAAAGCGTCAACAATCTCCGGATATCAAAACCACCATAGCGACATTGTACTAAAAGTAATTATTTTTCTTTAGAATCTAATTTCAACAACTTGCTTCATTGACTCTCGCAAATTAAGAAGCATGTTTGTAAATACCTAAGCCTTGTGAATTTAAACAATTGGTCTCAATTGTACATTACTGGAAAAATACGACAGTCAGCCAAAACTCTCAACGCGTAGTTTTACATACAGTTTGACTCCTGCGACTTAACATATTTATGTTTTGCACATAATGATCTAGTATAGAATTAAGTAAGGAAGAAATAGATTTGGCGTGAAGAACTAATCCATATTTCTTTAGAAAAAAAATACAATAGTTACGGTTTAGTAATTTCACAAAATTAACTAAAACAATAAATAAATAAAAAAAGAACAATTGTCTCGTTTTCTTATTCCTTTTGACTTGTTGGAGAAGTGAAATCAAACCCTTCAGTTTTGACTTTATAGCCACTTCATAGTTTTGACGTTATCACCACTTCACGATAGTATTCGGCCGGAACCACCACCTGGATTAAGATTCACCAATCTTAACTTGTGCCAAGTGGCCTAATCCTTGAACAGAATTATATATAACTTGCGCCAAGGTGTGTTCTCTTCAAATATGGCTGAAGTACACTGATCTATTTTGCTTTGAGATACTGAGCTGAATCTTCTGTCGGTTAGAACTTCCTAAAGTAGTTTAGAATGCTTTTGAATATCAAGCTGCAGGTTCGCCAGGTGTATGAAATTTTTCTCTCAAAGCTTGTTCAAACCTTAATGTCCATCTTTTCTTTTCTTAAATAAAGATTACCACAAGGTCCAAACATCTCTTACCTGAAATAAAAATGTTATGCACGATAAGAATCATATAAAATATGGTTGATATAGTCCATAGTTGAATTAAGGAAACATTTTCTAAAATAATCTTTCATTCTTTTAATTATTTGATAATCAACTTTGTCCAAGATGATAATTAAGTATTTTGGAATACGTTACTTTTAAGGTAAGTAAGAGTTGCACCTTATTTAGGCTTTTAGAGACGCTCAAGAAATCGCAACCAGACCTTTGCAAACTTGTAGCACCCAGTCAGTTCTGACCGACTTACTTGTCTATGGACTTCACTGTTGCACATATATTTTGGAACATGTTTGGACATTAAAAATCATTCTAATGTAAGCAAGCCAATAAATAACAGATGAGTAAAAATATACCTTATATTTTACTTACAGTTCTCCCTTTGGCACAATTAATTTCAAAAACCTTAGTTTGAATTTTTAATGTCATGATACGAGTGTGTTAAGGAGAACATGTACATGAAATGATCTCCCTCGATTGGTTCTCCCAAGTACACACAGCATAACTCCTCCTAACTCCATGAACAAGACAATAAATAACAAAGTGTGCAAATAAACACAAACAATCGCGACAAGCACGTCCTACATTTCAAACTGTGTTCAACAACAAAAAAAAAAATCAACATACTACTACTCTCCCTTTTTCAAATTAAAGCACATAGTGACCAACCATCAAGAATATTAGTTATACAATCATCCAACGAGTATAGGCAATTATTTAGTACTAGACTTTACATCCCACAAATAGTTAGAGCAAAAGAAACCAAATCAGCCTTCAGTTGGTGGATCTTCCTGACGCTGGACCAGAGGTGTTGCCAGGTTGGGACTGGCAGAAACGTCTGTAGCAGTACTAACCCTACTGGCTTTGCAAAGTTGTCGTAACCAAGCACATATTCAGGGAAACCAGGAGTACTCTTGTATCGTATAGTCTGGATACGTTCATCAACAAGTAGGCTAATGTTTTCACAATCCTGCACATTGAGTGGAGCTTATCAGCCATTTTATGAACCTTCAAGAAAATGGTGCCCACTTGATTCTTGACAACTCGCAGATTGTTCTCCAACAATTCTAACCTCTCAGAGTGATCTCCTGGTACATATGCTTTGGAGTCCTAGGTGTATGGAAAGGAACACCATCCAGATTGCCCAATTCATGGACCCTTAGAGTTGGAATGGGATTAGAGTATCTATCAGTGAGCAGAGTATGTATCCCCAAATCAGATAGAAAGTGGTGAATGAGATCGGGATAGGGGAGTGTGTATTGCTTCGCCCTCCTTAGTCCTTCATAGACCATTATGTCAAAAATTAGTGTAATCAAATCCACCCCTACCATTGTACCCCATTTGTATAGCATCACAACACACTCTTGGTAGAGATCTAAGTGATGGGTAACATGGTTCAGATTGTGGATGAGAATTTTGAAAAAGATTTTATACTTAGGAGTTTGCCTAGAAAGGGTTGATAGAATTAGCAGGCCACACTTTCCCAGTTAATTCCATGGCCACACCATCAGTGGTTAGATCATCATCATTCTTAATAGCAATCTCATCCAGTCTCATAATACAAATGGACTAAAGGTCACCAGTCTCCCCCTCACATGTCCTAAATGGATTTTCTATTGTGCCATTCTTGGGAATTTTTGAATAAAATTCTTTTACAATTGTTTTATTGAAAGCTCCATCTAATGTCAGCTCAGCAGCTTCTCCAATTTATGAAATCTAATGATCATATCCAACCCAAACCTCACAAAGTCCTATAGAATAACCTTAAATTCCTCAATAACCTTTTGATGGGCAGTGTAAGTGACAAATAGAGTTTCATTAGCCTCAATCAGAAGACGGTAATTAAATGGAGTAACTGAGTTTCAACCCCTAGTAAATGTGTTAAACTTGGATAGAGATGGATCGGAAGTGGGTATTCCTAAAACTCTGTATGTGCCACCGGGAGTTGGATGTGTTGACTTGCCAACCGAAATGGTAAATGACACGACCCATCTCTAATCACCCTAATGGACCCAACATGTACAGTGCACCGATTGTAGATACCATCTAAGTGCTGGTCCCACCATCAAGACGACATGACATGCTTTGACCGTGATATGCTTTTATAAAAAATTTGACAGTTTCATTTGCAATATGAACTAAAATC